ACAGTAGGCGTGGTTTAAAATAAACTTGGTGTCACTTTTAACACAACAACTTTACACCAACACTTTACAATACACACAATAATACTTTAAACGTTTAGTTTAAATCATACAATTACATGGACTATGAATACATTTTTGGGGAAATAAAATGATAATTCAAATAGATCAACTTAGAAATAATCCAATGTCGTGCAGTATACATTAAGGTAAAATTTTACTAGAACAGCAAACTTTAATCACTCTTTATTGATTTTGAATTAATCGAGAATATTCAATGAGCAAGGCATATGGCAAATAGCTCCTTATATTAATACAGAAGTAAAATGACTATAATGATGGTCATTTGAATAATTGTACAGAATTAGAAAGAAAATGAGAAGATTTGAAAAGGCAATTACTTGTCAAATGTTGATTGGTCTAATGGCAGCTTATAAGCGTTATTTTGGAAAATCAGGTTAGAGAGGGCCATGATGACAAGATCTTAACTTTGAGTATTATCTGGGATCTCAATGCAATCTGCCAATCAATCATGTAATGACCTTTAAATCAGTAATGATAGTTACCAATCCCTTTCTTTGTATCAATACCTTACACAATCAGCCTCCACTCGATCAATAGAATTAATGGAGAGAAAATTACTAGCAGACGACAAACTAGCCAGTAATGAAACAAGTGGTTCTGGTTGTACTTCATTAATTCAGACAAAACTTCCAACTATCAGACATTTGTTATTTTAACGATGCTACTTAAAATGACTGTAGCTCAATTTATGAATAAAATAAACATTTCATGTAAAATACTCTAAGAGGATCCGCCTGCAGGAATTTCAATTAAAAATAACACAACTTTGTTCTATTTTCATCCCAAAAATTAAGTTAGCATTGATTTCTGTTACAGTTTAAATACTAAGTCAGTTTTTCCACTATGAAATTCTTCCTGTTTAATATGTTATTTCAACACAGGAAAACCATGTGATATTTCTATCAATTTAATATGTTAATACCAGAGAAATCTGTAGGAATTGAAAAGCCAAACACAAGGGTTTAAATTATAAAACTTAAAAAAGAAATTTAAAGGGAGGAAAACAATGGTGAAAAACAATGGTTTAAAGTGCTTTAGGAATGTGTCATGTCCATGATAATTCTGTTCTAAGTTACCCCTGGTTCACATGCCATGGATCTCAAAGGTCTGTTGTTTTCAAATCTTTGAAAGTGTTTAGATAAACATCATCAATTGGTAAATACATTGACAACACCTTTAATAAGTGACAATCTTTAGAATTGAAACCATCTACAATCACGTTACTTATACTCTTTTATGTTACTAATGTTCTTTTGATTAGGTTTTTTCAATACATATCATTTTAACTGGTTCAGAAAAACTAGGTCTGCATTGCTTTGACTTGAAAAGAAAATTTCACTATAATTCCAGTCATAATCTAATTCTCTACCTGAAGTTAATATTACTCTACTCTTGTACATTTACTCAAAATTTAAATCATCTAGAAATAGCAACAAATTTATTTTTCTGCATGATACTTTTTATTAACATAGATAAAACGATAAATATTTTTAACTTTAAAGTCTTATCTACAGTTTAATTTATTGACTTTCGCTAAACTGACATACAGGTAGTATAGTTAATTGGTAATTTTGTCAAGATAGTGACTAAAGCCAAAGTAAACAGTATTGACTTAATTGATGGTCAAATTTATTATTTTACCTATTTTGTTCTATCTAACAATGTCAATAGTGATGGAGTTGATGTATTTTTTTTCTAGTACTATAATCAATCAAGTTCTATATATTATCAAGGTATAGTGTAAATGCTCAATATTTACACTAGTTCATTGTTATTTACATCTACATCATGTTGATATCATATCATAATGTCTCACTAGGGAATGACCATAACTTGCAAGATACTCATAATTTCAAATTAAATTGTCATTTTCGATGCTTTGATGCATGAACAATAATACACATATATCTGATGCATTAAAGAAGTTGTGAAGAACTAAAAATGATAAGGATTTTTCTTTCTATGCGTTCCATGGTTGAAAATGGACGGATATAGTTCCAATATATCATTACTGAAATAGGAAAAATAGCGAAGTTGTCGATATGCATAGGATTTTTCAATAAATAAAAGGATCAATAAAAAAATATTGTAGAACTAGAGAATCTAATCAACATCTTTAAATGGATTGATTGAATAAATTGGTTAACTATCAAATCTATCATCAAGCTTGACCATTCACTCTCAGATTAAATGTCCATCTTAGTTCTATCAATACTAACCTCTTGGTACTATATAGTGCTTCTACTAGCTGTAACATTTTACTATGAAAATATCCTATAGTAACAACACATGCCTTTAAATCATATCACATAATCACTTAACATAGAATGATAATCCAGCACTGTCATCATAAATGACTAACTGTTAATCTCATAATCCCTAATCTGTTCATCTTACACTACAGCTATCCTTAACTGTCAGTGGTCTAGGAACTAGGTCACAAACTGTCTTCAACATTTACTAGCCTTCAATACACCAACACACTGTGAGGGCAGATAACTCTATTCATGAATATTCCCGTCTGCTACTCAATGTCAACTTTGAAGTGATTTACATGATAAAGACCACACAATAGTTAGTTTGTAACGGTTTAAGCTTACAGTAGTTTGAAGTGAAAGATTAAGATGTTTACAAGAGAGAAATAGGGGATATCTTCTCACCTTCAAACAATAGTATTTAGTCAGGATTATCAAACACAAAGGATGTTTTCTACTAGAATGTAAGTGATGTCCGACATATTACACAATTTCAAGTAAACAACATGTTTTAACCTCAGTCTTCATTATTTCAGAATCACCAAATCATTTAACTGGTGATCAAAAGAAACCTTTTGGCTTGGTACATTCCACTCACAGAAATCATCATTAAAAAGTCTTCTAACAGCTGGTTTGAATTTATTTAGGGTTAAAACAATAGACTTTTATATCCCAGAAGTCATCTGAATTTCAACATGTGTCTGGTGATTCAAATTTTATTCTTCAATTTATTTATTCAAATAATAAACAATTTGAATTGAGCTGTTTTAAATGTGTTTAACATTCACTTTAAATTCAATGCTCTATCTATACAATCAACGATTTTCAAGGAGAAAAAATATAAATAAATCTATGAAATAATACAGTGGTGTAACCTATTTTCGTGGATATAAGGATTCAACACCAAATTTCGTCAAGGTTAAAAGAACGAAAATTTGTTTTTATGTCTTAGATGTTTCCTCAGATATTCTACAAAATAACTAAAATTGGTTTATTTCGATTTTCTTTATGAATCCTTCACTTTGACCCATATTTCATAAGCAACCAACTCGGCAACGGCGGCAGAATGCGTAACCTATTTTCGTGTACAATGTTTGAACTATAAATAAGTCTAGAAAAACTCGTTGTATGGATACGGGGTGGTACAATTAACTTCTCTTAGGGTTTATCTTTAATATCAATTCATTATAACTAGTGACAATTCCTTCAAAGAACCACGATTTAAAAAAAAATAGTGACTGACAAAATAAGATACGTAGCGTGATTTATTGCTAAAAGTCACTGAAACAACATAAGAATATGGTCCACTTTGTGTTCCATAGAAATTTTCTGCTGACACGGAATCTGCTAGTTGATCATGTGACTTCATTTGTTGAAATATATTCTAGCAGATGACACTTGGAATTCCGATTACCGCTTGGGATTATAAGGAAATTCCGCCAATAAAAAATGGTGACGTTTGGTAATAACTGAAATCCGCCATGTTGTATTTGTCAAAGTATACATTAATACATTTTACCTTGCTTGAAACTACTGGATTCATTCTACTAGCTGACATTGTAGAGAAAACCCATGTTTATCAAAACAAACTAATGCGGAGGTCGCGCAAGGTCGCTCATGTAAATTATTAATCCTTTCCGGAAATCCACGAATAATAGGTTTCCATGAAATTAGGTTACTCGACTGTATAGATACCAAAATAATGTATTTCATCTGTTGATCAGGCCCTTTCATGCTTGTGCCACCATCCTTTATGTTTTAAATACAGTAAAAATATCTTTATAACAACTGTCTTTCCGGGGTTTCCAAATCTCCTTGAGGTTACAAAATCTGATGACACAAAGTCCCATAACTATCCAGGGTAATTCAAGAATTACAACTCCAAACATCTGCTAAAGACACAAGTGATTTTTGCCCAGCCAACTTTGCTCATAAAGTTTAGAAAAAAACATACCAATGTAAAGTTTTTTTTGGCTAAAAAATGACAAATTAGTCAAATCCCAGTGTCTGGGACAATATACTATTAATGGCATGTACAAATATATTGAGATATATTTATGTGTATGTTGAAAGAGGTGGTAAAATTAAACAAACCATTAATTTCTACTCTGCCTAATGATATGGAGTATGAATTATAAATTAATTTCTATGACATTTAAAGGAAGTAAAATGTCAATATAACTTCAAGTTGTATGATGTAATTGACATTGTATAGAGAAAGCTATTGGAAAGTCTAAATCTATAATCAATATTGTTGTGGCTACGTACTTTGGATTTGCTATTTATGTATGTGGATGAAAATAGACACGTATTTCATGTTTTTCAGTGACCTATCTTGGTATTTTGAACATTGTAAAGTATTTTATGAAATGCATATAGCTACATACATGAGGTTTTACAATGTAGCTAGGTTTTATGATGTGATGTATGTTGTGGCTACATACATCAGGTATTATCATGTAGCTGCATACACTATTTATGTCAGGTTTTATCATGGAGCTAAATGCATTAGATAGCCACATACATACATATGTGGCTATGTATAAGTTTCTAGAAGGTTTGTCAATGGTAGGCTACTATAAATCTGGTTATGCATTCAGACTGAATGAATGGGTGTATAATATGTTTATTTTGCAATTCATAAAATACCATAAATAATACTTACTAATTACTGAATTGGCCTGGTTTATCTGCTGGTGGATTATGTACCTATAAATATAAACATTTATATTTAATAACAAATTATTGGTAATATGGTAATTAATCTTCAATAATGAACATTCTAATTGATATGCATACATACATAATGACTTAATATTTAAATAGAGTACTTAAATATAATATCAAAGATTATTTTGAACAAAAATAAGTAAGTCCTGTCATCTGAGAATAATTCCCTTTAGGCTGAAAAAAAGAATTCAAATGACAAAGATTCTGGAAAGGCTAGTGAAAAAAACACTTCAAAGCAAACCACTGAAAAGGATTATATAAAAAAAAAACCTTACAGATTTTCAAATAGAAGTCCAAGATTGCATGATTTCAATGTAGTATTACAGACACACCTATATTTATCAATCTAGCCCTGACATAACCTACTATCATCAATCTTTCATATTGTTTGTACAATATTCCTATAAATTATAGAGAATACTATCAACTTAGAATTTAGTCAATAAAACTGTTATCTGACTATAGCTATAAATAATATATCAAATTTTAGCTTTTCAAATATTAAACTTTAATGTCTATATTCATCATTGAAACTGGAAATAATATAGCATCTTTCTGGGGTAAAAGATGAAAAATCAAGTAATATCAAACTTGTATAAAATCTTATTAGATAAAGCTAAATAAAAGATTTTTTTCCACCTGATTCATCAATCAATTATCTTAGACATTATATAGTTGAAAATCGAATTTCAGCATGTCATTTTGATGATTAAACAATATTGATTAATAGAAATGGAATCAATATAATAAAATAGTATAGACTAGCCTAGCCAACTACTCATTATATTCCTCTGTTATCTTTATAATTATTCCACCTGATACCACCATCAGTGATGTAATTGAGATAGTCATCCTGACTATCCAACATGACTTTTTATAGTCACTAGCACTGACCCTTGGTAAATGGGCATTTAGTCATCAATATTTTTGCATTACCAAAATACATAATAGAGCTGTGCAAGTACTTTTCAGAAGTAGTAAATCCCACGTCTGCTTCTCCAATATTTCAATAACAACACACCATCAGGGTTTTTGACCCACTTCCAGGTCATGAGAGAATGTAAGTGTGTATGTTAACAACTACCTGGAAGTCGAACCTAGGACAACTTTGTTCCATTTAGAAAGTTGCTAAGGATAATTGAACGTAAGCTCAATCAAGTGAAAACACTGACAGTGGCCCAGAAAAAACAACAACTATTTCAGGAATATTCATAAAGTATCAAAGCTAAGATCACAATATTTTGATCTTATAATTATAGAGATAATAGACATCTTTTCACCAAATTTTAAAAAAGAAAGCAAATATTTAAAAAGTAAGTACAGAGAAAGAAAATACCAGTGTTGTTCCTAGACATATTTAGTTTAATGTAAACTTTCAAACTGAAAATCTGTTTGTTTCTAAACCCCTCTGATTAGTTCTCAAGTGGTCGATAAAGTCACTGTGAGCTTTGCTTAAAGTTTAAATCCATAGATACAAAATGATTTGAAAAATATTATTGATTCCATTTTTGAACATAACTTTTAAATATCTTAATACTAAATTTTTAACACTAATGTCCTTTTGCTCCTACCAAACACAGTAGTTCTTAAAACTCTTTGTCAGTGGTAAGTAAATAGAATTTTGAAGCAAGAACTTCTTCTCATCAAAATACTACCATAATGTACAAATTACATTAAATCATTTAGAATCACAATTCATCATGTCTGGCAACCATTTTGACAATAGTCCTGATGACAAGACATTATACATAAATTATATTTCATCTATAGATTATCTAGATATAAATACAGAGAGTAAAAAAGCTATAACATTATAGATATATATATATATATATATATATGACAGTAAGAATGTACCAGCTGTCAAAACTATCAATATATAAATTATTATATATATTGATAAATACTTTTACATATGTGTTTCACATAAATATTGTTTTGTCCTTATGTTGCATGTCCTTTTTAACATTGAATATTAACTGCCCCAATTTTTCAGGGGATATCAACTTAAGTTAGGGCATCATTGACAACTTGCTACGCTTCCTCAAAGTTAAAAGATTTTTAGGTGGTTAAGGTGACTTGCCGTTAACAGAATCTGAGAGCTACTGGATTTTGACAAATGTTAGCAACTGGTAGTATCTTGTAGTATCTGGTCAATCGCTAGATTCATTTGAGAGCCCAGATGAGACTACTGAAAGATTGCAGTTGCTGTCAGTTATCTATATTTTAGTTGATGTCTTGATATGCTCTCAACTTGAGGAGTCAGAATCTATGTTACCACCCAGTTGTCATAAGTCAGTGAATTTTTCGATATGAATTTTTCCCTCAAAATGTTGCGAATCAAATGAGTAACTTTGAATCTGTAGACAAACTGCCCCACCTTAAGTGACTATAATCACACTATTTCAAACCTGCTGTGTTCACTATTACTATACCATATACCATGTTATCAAAATAAATACCAAAATAGTCAGCATTGGAACATATGACTTTTGATATACATAATTTTGCTTCAAACAGATATAATGATTTTCCCCTCAAAAAGATTTCTTACATCCAAACAGAATTTGTTGGATGTAATTTGTTATGACTGCAGTTTAAGAGGATTTGTTATAAAAAAAAATGTAAACAGTGCAGATAAGAAATTCCTGTAAAGATAACTAAAGACTACAAAGCATGTTGGGTGTGTGAGACCACAAACAGTAAAAAGAAAAACCACCACTTAAAAACTACTATCTACTAGAAAAGATAAAAAGATAAAGCGTTGTAAAGCTGTGTCATAATAAATATCAGATTTGATACCCCTCAATAAGCTATCACACTAGTTGGTGATTTACCTTAAATTTTCTGGGTGGCGTTGAATGTACAGAATGTGAACGTTGCCTCACCTCCGGAGATTTCTACAGTGAACATAATAAAAAACATTGAAGGATTAGGAATCATGCTATATAGTTGAGTCATACTGAAGTCATAGTATATAAATTATATAAAATAGCATAGATATTAAACTAGACAAAAATCAATAAGAATAACAAGAACAAGTGGGGTGTGGCAGAGTCTGATATTTGAGAAATTTCCAAATCCATGCACAAGATTTAGATTATAGTTATCATTCAAAATCTGTCTGTTATTGCTAAAAACATTCAAATAGCATTAACACCATAGAATCTTTAGTTATTTTTTTAAATTTCTAAAATCAGATCAAAATTTAAAATAAACATCAAATTTGTATGAAACAAAACTATCATATCAAATTTGTCACAAAGTGAAAGTAGACAAAAGAAGAATAAAACAATGGTACCTGTAGAACTGATTATTCCATTGTTAAGCAGGTAAAGAGAACAAAGAACCTTACCCTTGTTAACTTCCAGTCAAACGGATGTTAAAACAGTGCGTCTGCTAATCCGTGTCAACAACACACAAAACTGTGTACATAGATCAAGTTTTAAAACCTGAGTTAAAACGGTTGTCAACACGTTAATTACAGGTAATAATACCCCATGTGAAATAACAGTGGCTTTAAAACGAGGCTATATTAATCAATATACACAGTTTATTTATTGATTATTCTAGACACATCTGTACACTTCAGACTTTAAACTACCATTGTTCGATTCTTCTATTGTTATGTATTTGAAAGAAAATCAACTTTGTCAAAATAGTAATTTTGGTATAAAACTGGGCTGTTTGTAGGTTATTAAATCTTAAGAATAAATTACTCTGACTGACTCATTAAAAATGTTCACTTTTATTATGTTCAAAATCAGCACATATATAAGGAATGTTAACATTTTTCTTTAACACGCTCTTGCCACATGATATAATAATTATCACATATAATTGCAGGAAATATCACTTTTTTATTTCTATTGTTGTTTTCTGCTTCTGATCTAGAGATGTCTGATCTGGAGATCATAGCATCATAAAATTTGATCACCTGTCACCTAACTAACATGCTATCCTTAATTAGTACTTGAATTGAAGCAAGCAACATATTCTTATTTTATGTTCTCTACAGAATTTACATCTGTCAATTATTTTAGATGAGCATAATATACTACTTTTAATTACCAATTATCTTTAATTCAGAAAGTATCAAATATATAATAATCAATCAAGAAAACATGCTTAGAGTTATGAACATATAGAACACATTTTCTGACTTAACTTCATGCTTACTTAAATTCATTTAAAAAAAAAAGGAAATATGCTTACCGTTTTAGCTTCCTGGAAGGCCAAAGAAGAGAATCCTGGTTCATATTCCATGATACTTCTTGGCTGATTTCTATACACTTCAATTTTAGACTGAACATTAGGTGGAGGATAGTTATATCTGAAAATACATATACCAGACAATTACAAAATAATAGTCATATTGAAGAGTATTTGCATTGAGGAGTATCAAACTTATTCAATATTCATAAATTCAATCCACATGGAAATATGATATATATATATCAATGAATACTAGTCAGAGGGGCTCCATTAGTCTAGTGAAAGTTTATTTATATCCACCACAAATTTAACATACTTGGCTACTTTTATATTGAATTTGGCAATTTATCCTGTTCTGTAAACATCAATAAAGAGATAAAAATAAAATCATTACAATTTGAATGAAACAATAAAAATTGCTGATTTGACATCTTTCATATTATAAATAAAAGATAATATCATTAAATTTAAATATTCTGAAACAATTGTCCAAATCAATAATAAAAATAAAGATTATGTATATAAATTGCTGATTAGACAACTTACATATATTTGATATATTCACTAGAATACATGATCATGTTTCTTACGTTACACTATTTTCATATAAGAGATGAAACCAAAATGATTAAAATTAGAGTGTGTCATGTAGCAGTATTAAGGTGTAATAAAACATAAAATAAGTCCTGTCAGATTTTACACATATCAACTCAGGTATTTTTGACATTTGTTTTTAAATGACTGTATTAAAATAAGTATGCATGTGTTATACAGTTACAGTTTGTATTTATCATCAGTGAGAAAATATCATTTTACTTGATAATATCTACTTCCAAATGATTGCACTTCCCTTTCATAAAAACAGACCTCAATAAAATATCTGAGAATCTGTTTGTTAACGATTTCAAATTGGTCTAGATTTTTAATCATCATCTTAATTGCAAAAAAAAAAAAAAAAACATTATCTTATTTATAAATCTAATTTTTCATAAGTAACATTATTTTAATTTTAAAATCTAATTTTTGTTACCAGTAAAATGCTTCAAATTTCAAATTAAAATTTGTTCAAAAGTAACATTATCCAATTTTTTAAATTACCATAACATCATCTTATTTCAAAGAAGATTCTTATACAAGTAATATAATTTGTATTTCAAATACATGCAACATTATCCAAATTTCAAAATAGATTTACATGTAGCTAGATTCAAATTACCAGTAATATTTCCTTATTTCAATTCTTATTCATTAGTAAACTGTCTAGTTGCAGGTGGGTTTGTGCGCAAGATAAGCAGATGGTTATTTCAAGAAAGAAATAAAATATTAATCACTAATTGATTAAAACTTGATAATTATCTTACATAATGACAATCATTATTCTGGAGATGATTAATTTATCATGTGAATAACAATGGTTTCTATCAAATTACAAATGGCCCACAGCCAAATATCAAATATTGTAAAGCAGGTGTGAATCTGTGAGAAGTTCCACCTTAGTACTGGGTAAAGGTTTCCTCATCAAGACTCATTCATCCTGAAAACACTTTCATCTGTAGAGCTTCATGTTAAAATAAATAACAAAACTTGGAAAACAAAATGAATTAAAGCTAATGTTCTTCAGCTTGGACAGTTCACAGAATAGCAGAATTAATTCATTCACTCTTTAACCATCAATTGCCTTAAGATCTGTCTTTCTATCTTTTTATACCTACAACTAAAAGTAAACTAACTTACAATCTTCTGCTCTCATCTGAAGAGGTGCTTTTACTTCTATTTTTAAACAAATTCTTTGATTTACCCTCTGGTTCTGATCTATAGCCAGCATCATCTACAAAATAGATGAGATATATTGATTTTCTTTACATCGGACATCCTGATACAGTAATACTGAATATTCTGCCTGTATACTATACAACCAAGGTTTTGATTGAATGAACTTTATTTTTCCGTTTTGTCTAAACCTGCCTGTTTCAACCATTCCCTTCTAGCTCCTATATTTCTAAAGTTTCAACTATTACATTTGAATCAGAATACTGTAATCATACATTTTGTACTTAAAGCATTGATAAAATGTAACATACCAATAAATCGTGATGGTATTTCATAGCTCGGTCTGTATGGATTCACTTCTGAAATATCATCATTGTACAATACAGTTATTTTGTAATGGCATCATATCTTTCATACAAGAATCATTAGCAATAAATATGACTAGTTAACTAATAAAACTAACTATGCAGCCTGTTGAAGCATCTAACATAGAGTTATGCCCCTTACATGAGGATGTATAAAGCTAAGCATATATAATCATGTTAGCTCTTTATGTCCAATAATGTCTTCTAGCTTCGAGATGGAGTCTTTAAGCAGAACAAACCTTAGAGAATTTAACATAGTAAAGAGACAAAAAACATTATCATAGATTGAAAAAGTAACCACCATTAAGAGTTGTCTGTTGCCAAGAAAATTGGTAAAAGTGGTGAAAAATATTAAAATTTTACTAAGTACATAAATAAAACTTTATGATGGAACCTGAACCAGAATTAGAATTAACTAAATTAACAATTAGAATGGTGATGAAGTGTAAAATAAAGATATTGAAATGAAATATGGTGAAATAAAGCAAGTTGAGTCTAAGAAGAAAGCATTATAAAGCATGATATTGCAAATGTTTCTGTGGAATGACTTACTACTATTGACTTCATTATTTGTGGTTTCCTTAATCTTGGCTATATGAAAGTTAGAAATAAGAAAGATGAAGATCTGATGCTGATGTGACACAGATTTTGGTTTTGCTATATATAGCTATTGTTTTTTGCATCTTGTTTTGGTATTTTAGTTAATCGTGACCATAAGGGAAAAAGCATATCGTTTTGTACTAAATATATTGTTTAACTGATTTACAGCTTCTGCACTCAAAGAACTGCAATAGCAGACATTGAAAACTAGGCTTGGTAAATGAATTTCAGTTGTATATTATTTCAAAACTGTGTTTTTAAATTGACTAAATACATAACCATTTTACAATGATATGACTTGATAATGTAGGAATCAGGATGAACAATATATACTAATATCTATAACTACTGACCTTCTTCTGATCTTGTATCTGATATTTCTTCTGGAAATCTATATGTTGGTGTATAATCATTGTCTTCTACAAAAAATAATGGAGGTAAATATTATATGTGGAAACAAATAAATATTTCTCATAATTAACCATATGTTTATAAGAGAACATTGTCAAAAATCAAAACATACATTTTGTTTAGCTTGTACAGATTTCTATTAACTTCTAGTTCATTTGATTAGAAAAAAATAATTTCAAGAAAGTAAATAAAATTTGAAATGGATTGCAAAGAGAATTTCTAAAAAAAAAAATTGTGTATCAGGGACACTGATATCATCAGTTGTACCACTCCAAATTTCAATCAGATGTCTGTGATTCCTGCAATTCCACTTAATCTAAGTGCTTGATGACGTCACTAATCGCAAAATATGCTTGTATCACATAAGGCCCTTTGGCCCACAGACGTCTGATTGAAAGTTGGAATGGTGCAAATTGAAGCTATCAGAGACACATAAAAATTTTACAAAACCTCTTTACAATCCCTTTAAAACATTCAGTTGAGTTAAGAAAACATGAATTTTTAATCCTGTTCCTATTTGAGAATTACAAAAACCAAAATAAAAGACTGTGATGTTTGCAAATAAATAGTGATATAAATAGCATTATAAGAAATGAAAGTTGGTTGTTTATAAAAGTGAATTAGTACCAATTATTCCTAATAAATTCAACATATTTATTTGAGCATATTAAAAATATTGAAAGCTGACTGCAGCAACACTGACTTAAATCAAAATTTCCAAACTTGGTCAGATTTGTCTACTACAGTAATAAAAAATTGTCAACTATACAATTGACAAACAAAATGGAGATTTCAAAACAATAGCAGACATTCACACAATACAAAATCACAGCACCAAAATAATTTCCATTTACAGTAATGTTCACAAATTTGGAAAAAACCCGTTGTGGAAACAAATCCAAATCTAACATATTCCTGATACTAAAATACTGCAAAAACCCACCAAAAAAATGTTTTTTTTTTTAACTCTGACCAAAACATCTATTTAATTCTTTTGATTTATTGAAATTGGTAATGTAGAATACCACATTTTCAACTTTCTATCTACTCTTTTTTGGACATATTTCTATAGACATGCATTCAAAACTTCTTTCTCACACTCAAAGTGCATGTATCTTTGGTTAAAAAAATATAACTATATATGGCATGATGGACAGAAAAGTTTCTACCACCAAAGCAATAAATGTGACAAAAGCAGCAACATAATTAAACATGTATCTTGCTATCCAGTGCTTACCTATATTTTTAACTGTAAACCATGCAAAATAGAAAATAATAACATATGTACTAGTAATATAGTGATATAACATACAGATACATTGGGTCATATATTGTTACAGATTCAACATGATATACTTGTGGGCATAAAATGTATTAAACATCTAAAAAGAGCATTTTGTAAAAATTTGTGTCCTTGCAAATGTTTAAAATTAAAACAATGCAAATATATATAAGGGTAGAATTAAGCAGCATGCTTATTAAATCCAGAAATTGGTTAAGTTGAATTATCTATTTAGTTCACTGCTTAATTGTCCAAAGATATAACACGGATGCAAAATATGATAATTTGAATTAGGAAAAACGAAAGCAAGGTAAACATGTTTTCTATATATCTGAAAATATGTATTAAGTATAAATGTGGTAAATGGTCAAGCAGGTTACACTTAGTTAGTACCAAATTTATTTAATAGTGCTCAAAATGTTTATTATCAATAAAGCCTTTTGCGTACTAGAATCCATTGCTTGAAGCCAAATGTCTAAAATTGAAAGTCTCATATCTATTATGTATGGCATGTTGTACCAATACCTCAGTCAGTAAAATTCAGAGACAATATGACATTTGATTGGATTCCTATCTCCCTCAGTATGTGAAAGGCTGAGGATACCCCACTTGACCCTGCTGTAAATAGATATTGTTAGTCCTAGCATGTCAATGTCAAGAGTTAGAAGAGTTCCTAAGAAATTTAGTTGTTAACAATCTTAAGCAATCAATCTTTCATTTTAGATGCACATTGATAGATTTATATTATTAAACTTGGATGTTTTATGTCCAAAAATTCAGGATATGCTTTAAATTTAGTTATCAAATATGTTCACACTGGAATTGTTTTTTTTTTTTTAAATAAACATACAACAAATGATATTAATTTGATTTCTGCAGACTAGACATGAACACATGCAGTCACAAACAAATAATTCATAAATATAAGCACCTGCATCCTCGAAAATAGAATCTATGATGTCATTAATTCCCAATAATTCTGTAATAAAATAAGTTGGAACAATATATATATATACCTTCACCAGTGGGTTAATAATGAAAGCATCAAATTAAAAGAAATGTAACTTCAAGGCAGTAGAAGGGCTGATTAATACTAAGCAAAGAAAATGAATATCCAGTTATAAGAGTGAGGAATAAAATCAAAGTGATCGGCAAATAGTGTTAGGAAAATGATCATGGTTAATGATAAAAAATTCATACAATAATGGCCGTATTAAATTCTTATCAAAGTTTCAAAGCATAGCAAATTTTGGTTTTTTTTTTCATGTAAAATGTTATCATTATGCACTATGAAAGTTTTTCAACAAATTAACTTTGTCAATGAACTTCTTTATAATCTGCCTGGAAGTCACAAATTGTTAATAAAAAGATGTGGATAAGTATTTAAAGTATGAAAAGGAAGATAGAGTCAATTTGTGTTATTGAAAATATTGATTAAAAATAAAGGAAATACAAAGAATACAACATATAAATAATAGAATTTTATTACAAATAATAAAAGTGAGGGTATCTGAAAAATATGGACTCATATCTTTCATTTTAAAATCACAATATTGATAAACAATAATAATACATACCATCTTTTTTCTCTGTTTTATGCAAATTTTTATACATCTGTCTGTACCATGCATGTTGATTCTTTTCATCTATATTCTGAAATAAGGAAAGATGTTTTTTATTTGGATTTCAATATTTTATAGAAAAATCTTTTTAATTGTTACAGCCCTTTTAATTTTCAACACAAAATCATAAAATAGATACACTTGAATTGTTGCATTTAATCATGCTACTTAGAAAATGAAATGAAATTTTACCTACTACATATCACTACTATAAATTCAGGGAATTTGAAAAAATCTTATTCACTTAATCTGAAATCGAATATAATATATACTTACTTTCCTAAATGCTAATGGAACGCCTTCCTGATCTACAGGACCAATTCCATCAAATATTTTTGGTTTTTGTTCAATAACTTTACTAGAGGCTTCTTCTTCTACAGTTTTAGTAGTATAGTAGGTATCTGTATGTTTCTGATCACCCTCTACTCTTTCCACTTTACCAATATATTTAGCACCTTTAGGGAACTGGCCTTCTACAATATACATCAAAGATAGAGTATAGAATTGTTGACCATCTAAAGTTGAACACAAGTAAATCATTTGTTATGATCTATATGCTGTCTTCCATCATGAACATTGATTACTCTTAAAATTTTGGACATTTTTATAAGGACTATTTTTTAGATTCTCTTTGGGAAACAAGCCTTTTACAAAAGCCTTTCTGATATCACATCACAAAACATAACAGATTTCAGGAGACATTGCAGTGGATATAAAAATGAATACAGAATTATCCAAATGTATGAAGGTAAATAAATTGTTAAAATTAAGCATGGTTAATATATTGATATATCTAAATACTAAAATTACAATTTAAAATATATCTATCATATCATGATTAAGTTAATAGCTATGACGTATTGCCAAAAGCTCTATAAGCAGAATCTCCCAAGATCAATACATTTTAAGATATAACCTTCTTAGTTGTTATGTAATATCCCTGTGGTAAGGGCTCTAATAAAAATCATATTTAACTGAATAAGATCCCATGGTAAAATTTCACCTCAAAAAATCCCCTAAGCATGCTTTCTAAAAGCTGTAAGTTATTATTAAATACACATAAGTGACTGAAAAGCAATCTATGAAAAAACAAACTAATATCTTATCCATCTATAAGCTAGTGAATGTTTATCTCACACCAAGCATTAGCCTTCACCATTGAAACCTGATCACATTGTATACATTGTTCAAGTCTTTGAAGAGTGGAGTGCATGTGCATGTACAAAACTACTATTTTCAATCAAAAGTATGAAGATGAGTGTTCAAATGATTTTAACCCTTTCCTGAATGTGTATCAACATACAGGTTAGAACCGCATAATACCAGAGTACCAAAAAAAAAATAGTCCTTAAATTAGTACAAGTAAATCTTAAGCACTAATAAGCAAACAAAAACAAAAGGTGCTGCTACAAGAGCTTGATATTTGAGGATTAGTTACTAAAGATCTGTTCAGTATTGTCTTACCATCCATAACCATAACTGGTTGTTTTATGTTAGATATATCACTCAGTTGTTCTATTTCTGAAATAACATGCAAATCAAACAGATGAAGTCCCCAAACACTCATAAATTTATTATATTGACCATGAATGAAATAGTGGGTGGCAAAATATGAAAATGAACACCAACTCCAAGAACATGCCTTTTAAGTTCATTTCAAAACCATTATTGGCAGTACCAATACCAACAAATAGAACCACACTGTCAGTCTTAGGAACAAACAATACAGAACAAAATTAAATTTTCAGATCATCAATTATTCCTACCTCTACTCTTCTGTAATAAAGTTATATAAGGACTCTGTGTCTGTGGTAAATGGAGGTCATCCTTAGTAGAATCAAAAGATGTATCTAGACCATTCATAGGAGGTGCATTTTCTATAGCTTCTGGTAATAATGATTCTAATTTAGAGCTAGCTAATTGGTACTGAACTGCACTAGTTGGTAATTTAGTTGGATCTCTACTGCTAGGACTGTCTGGAGGTTGCCAAGAAAAACCGTCATCTGGTCTTACTGACGGGGAAATTACCTGCAGAAACAATATAATTTAATATATCAACAAAACCAGTGTAAACCTAAAGAAGCATGGGGCTAATTCACCCAAGAAGTGTAAATTAAAGTGAAACAATTTGGCTATTCCACAAATTGTTTTTCTGTTTATTGGATAATGATACAGCATCATTGAAGACCTACTTTTGGTTTTGGTTTAGGCTTTTCTACAGGTTTATAACTAACATTGGTATTTAATTTAACTGGTTTAAATTCTTTTCTAGCACCAGACGGACTACCACCAGGTGTCCAAACAGGCTTCACATTAAATGATGGTTCTGGTTGGACTGGTCTAGGACTTATTTCTGGTGCTGCCTTGACAAAAGTTGATGGTTTTGTTCCAGGTGACCACACTCCTGCAAAGAAATAAACACAATTGAAGAGGAATTTTCAACAACTATTGTTCTCCTGACAACGTTATTCATACATGAGAACGTATCTGAACCATGAAAAAAATATAGCACCAGAACCGTAATATTTGATCATCACCAAGAAGAAGATATTTTTGAATTTGGATATTAAGTACATCTAATAATGTCTAACTAACCTTGTTTAGATGATGTTGGTGATAAGGGACCTAATGTATGATGACTAGTAACATTACCATTAACTACAGGTGCTGTTGGTTTAGCTAAAATATAAATGTAATTTACCATCAGCATCAATTGTATGAAGCAACACAAAATAGAGGGACATCAGAGATAAAGTCAATAAAATATACCCTTTAAAAGGCTGAAAGGGCTCAATCTTAGCTATCTATAGCAATTTTCATATTGAGAATCTGGCATATAGATTGTAGTTTGAATACCAATGCTTATACCAATTCTGTTGGTTATCTCATGAACTACAGACCATGGATGTTATTGACCAACAATTGTCATGACTGCCAGATACAAGAACTTGTTTTTGTTTTTAATCATTTCCTAATATGACCATCTCATGTGATTGCCAATGCCTGTTAAACACCTATCAGACCCTGTCACTAATTAAGTTTTGTACAAGATATCATTTTGATCTAAATTATAATGCTATGTAGCAACTCTGATCAGTCAGCTGTTTCATCATAAAAGATTAGGCAAGTTCTATTAATTCAGTGTCATCTTGGTGCATTTCACATAACAGTTATTTAAAATGAAAAGGTAAAATGAACAGTACCTGAAGGTGAAGAAGATGATTTGGATGGAAGAGTGTGAAATGTTCCAATATCTGCAAGAAGAAGGTAGAATCGTTACTAATACTGAGTGTAACATTGGTTCACATGTAGCTAAAAATGGTGTCATGGTTATATTCTTGTCAAGGTTCTCATTGTGTAAGGTCATAAAAAATCAATTATACAATTCTCAGGGAAAGTAAGTTCATTTAAGTACATTGGACAAAAAAAAGTCTTTAAAGTGAGGAATTCATGTACAAACCTTTCTTTTGATTGGGTGATTTAGTCTTTGGTAAACTGCCAAAATCGGGAGCTGAAATTAGAAAAATATGATTAGTTATTGAAAATCTAGCTAAATCTTTAGTTAGTCTATCAACCTTCAATGGTAACAGTTGATTTAAGTTCAACAAATTGTTATGTCTAGTTATAACCAAACTCAATATATAAGAAATGTACTGGTTGATACTAACTACTATTTAAAGGTTAGATGTCATATTATGATACCAAGGTACAAACACAGCTCTATCTATAAAGTTCAATAGTTGAAATTGGTTTCAATAGAAATCATTGAGAGGAAATGGATCTAATATTTATAAATATTGACAAATATTGGTTTAAAAAATGTCAACAATAATGAGGTGGTCATGACAACTACTGTAAATTGGAGTTGTCCCAATCAATATAGAATCATTGTTTTAAAGGTTTATCATTTTCAGGTAGATAAAGCTGGCCATTGGCTTACATTAGCATTAGATTTTGATTGATCCAAATAATATCATTTAACAAAATACTCAAGTTTATGTTTGATTTTGTATAAAGGTCATAGCTATTATAGATAGCATTATAGCAGAAGGGCCGTATGTCAAAATTGCAAGTTTCAATCATGGTTCCTCAAAAAGACTCAAATTCAAATACATGACAAGGTATATATCATTTAATCTCACAAAAACTTTTCATAAATATATGTTAGATTCAAAATATGACAGAAGATAAGGATTCTTTAGTACATGCCATTACAGGACGAAAACAACACATTCATTTATTACAGTGGTGTAACCTATTTTCGTGCATATAAGGATTCAACACCGAATTTCGTCAAAGTCAAAAAAACGAAAAAAAAGTTTTATGTCTAGATGTTTCCTCAGATATTCTACAAAATAATAAAAATTGGTCTGTTTCGATTTTATTTATCAATCCTTCACTTTGACCCATATTTCATGAGCAACCAACTCCGTAACGGAGGCAGAATGCCTCACCTATTTTCGTGTACAATGTTTGATCTATAAATAAGTCTAGAAAAACACGTTGTATGGATACCGGGTGGTATAATTAACTTCTCTTAGTATTTATCTTTAATATCAATTCATTATAACTAGTGACAATTCCTTGAAAGAACCACGATTTTAAAATAAAATTGTGACTGACAAAATAAGATACGTAGCGTGATTTATTGCTAAAAGTCACTGAAATAACATAAGAATATGGTCCACTTTGTGTTCCATAGAAATTTTCAACTGACACGGAATCCGTTAGTTGATCACGTGACTTCATTCGTTGGACTACATTCTAGCAGACGACACTTGGAATTCCGATTACCGCTTGGGATTATAAGGAATTTCGGCCAATAATAAATGGTGACGTTTGGTAATAACTGAAATCCGCCATTTTGTATTTGTCAAAGTATACATTAATACATTTTACCTTGCTTGAAACTACTGGATTCATTCTACTAGCTGAAATTGCAGAGAAAACCCATGTTTATCAAAACAAACTAATGCGGAGGTCGCGCAAGGTCGCTCATGTAAATTATTAATTCTTTCCGGAAATCCACGAATAATAGGTTTCCACAAAATTAGGTTACTTGACTGTATACCAATCAAATAAAAGTACATTAAGAAATATGAAAATTCAGGTTTGATCCTAGTACATTTTCATAAATGCCACAAGCCTGGAAACAAAAAGAGAAATAGATACAGCCTACTGTTAAGTAAAGTGATTCTTTTCCATTCTGAGTAGCAATGTCCAAACAACACTTGAGGTACTTAAAGATGCAGAAAAGTAAAGGAAAAAAAATGGCAAATTGATCATGCATTATTTATTCAAAAAGAACAGTTTCAATCCCTTTCCATGCATGTTATAATCAAAGTCTGAATCAAAATGATATGATGAAATCAGATTAGTGTAAAAATCATTCTGAGGTTATTGTCATTCCAAGATTCACTCAAACAGTCCATATCATCATAACAAACGATGCAAGTACAACCATTCTCATCAGGCATAGAGTAAAATACCTCTTTTATACATCTGAACATCCTCTTTCTTCTGAGGAACAATCATTTCTTCTTGAACCTCAGCAGGTCCAGATGGTTGTATAGGTTGTCTAGCTCGAGGTTTAGATTCTTCTCTTACAACTTTCTGAGGTTTAATAAATTCTTCTTGAGGCTCTTGTTTGAAGTCTTCACGAACGGCTCTTTGAGGTTTCATAAAATCTTGATAAGTATATTTTATAGGTTTACTTGGAGCCCTCTCTTCATGGACAACTTGTATAGGTTTCATTTCTTCATGTATAACATTGATGGGTTTACGAAAGTCTTTAGAACTAGTACCACTAACGATTGTATCATGAGAATCTGAACTGGTTAAAGTTGAACTAGCTGAGGGTGTACTGTCACCAAACGCACCTTGTTGAGATTTTGGAAAAGAGGATGAAACTCTTGGTGTTTCCTGATTGGTCCATAATGGCTGAGAATAATCAAAGCTTTGATTTTGTTTATAACTATCACTTGTGTCTATTTTTTGAGTTGATTTTAAAGGTTTAATTGTAGGTAATGTGGAATACATATTAAAATCATAGCGTTGATCATTATGTTGAATTGCATTAGTGTCACTAGCTTTTTTAACTACTGGCTGTTGTTTGGCTGCTCGTTTCACTGGTAATGTTGCATAAGATCCAGCTGAACCATAATTTGGCTTAGGTGGTTCAGATGGACCAGCACGCCAAGGTTGACGTTCAGGCTCTAAAACTTGTCCAATATTAAATCCATAGGGGTCACTTTCACTATAACTTCTGTTTCTATTTTGTTGTGGTGATAACACAGTTATTGGAACATTCCTTTCATGAGAATCTTTCTGAGGTACTGGTCTTCCAGCATGACGGGAAGGCGTATAATAAGGTACGGCCATTTGTCCTGGTTGTGGTGGCTGAGAGAATTGATTGGGATGATCCACTTTGATTTCTATTAATAAATAAATTGAAATAAGAATACACTGAGCATCATATAACTTGCTAAAAAAAGGTCATCTGGGTGTTTCCCATAGCTTAATAACAGACACATTCATTACTGCAATATTGTCATAAGTTAATTTGACTTTTCATTTAATAACAAGTACATCACTTAAGGTCATTATCAGTTTGAAATCTCTGAAATTAATTTAATTATATATATACATGCGATAATAAAATTCAGGGTGTTACAACTTAACATTTATTTAAGTATTCACGAATCAAATACTGCATTCAAAAAACACATCCAATATTGTTTCAGAAGATTCTCAAGAATATAACAAAAAGTTGCCTCACAAACCCAGTCAAGTAGCTTACATATCTTAAACAGCTTCAATGTGCTACTTTATTCTGGTATATTTAGTAGAGTTTGGCAATATTTCAATAACATTTGGAAAAAAGAATAAAATGAATCATCAAGTGAAGTAAACCAGTGTGTTATTTAATAATTTTTTCAGGTTCTGATGAAATTTTCAATTACATTATCATCTTTATTCTCCTTTTCACCAACTAAATTGTAGAAATGCTAAAGAAATGCAGATTAGGAATCTCAATTGGGGTTCATCATTTGAGCTATATTTGATTTTTAAAATAGAAAGTTAAAAATGTTTTTACATTTGTAAGGAAACTTAATGATGTATGTTAATATTGGGTTTGATGTTTCTGAATTCAAAAAAGATAACAAGAAAGTGGTAATGACGTGTTAAAAATGACTTCTGAAGAGGTTGACAACACATCTAGTGGTTAAAGAGGTGGACATGCTTTAGAAGCAAGTTAAATCTACCTCCACTATATTGAGCTTGCATCATGCGTCTGGATCTACTACCAGCAGGTGAGAGTCTAGGAGAAAGTCTACTAGCTGTACTATCAGGTCCAGGTAGTATCACATCAAAATTGACAACAGGTTTAGGCAACACAGTTTTATCTTTTTTACTTGTTCCCCACTGCTGTAGCATGCTCGACTTATGACGTTTCTGGCCCCATCGTAAATCTAATTTACAGAGGGAAAAACAAAAAAATATATTTATAACTATCTACAGTACATGTGGGTTGTTGAAAATCTAAAAAGTGTCAGTTTATAGAGAGATGTGAAATTACATTCGAAAGCTGAACAATATATCCAGTCAATGTCAATGCTTTTATGTAGAAGCAAAGCATTAAACACACACATTATTATACAATTATATAATACAACATTTCAAATTAGATATTCTACGCCTAATGGGAAAATAGCAAGCACAAAATTTTCTATATATTTTCAGCTTTGAAGGCTATAATATATGATATTCTAGAAGATTTGTGTAATATTGATAATGAAAATTTATACTTAGTCTGGAGAATAATGAAAATAAGTTTGGATTTTAGAATGAAATTTTTTTACAATTTCTGCTAATTGAAATAATTTTCCTTCCAAATTTAGAATTGCCTTAATTTTAGAACAATTGTAATAATACTGCAGTAAATAACTCAATGATTATGACAAAATGAGCAGTGGCTCAACTAGATCTGTGGGGGTCCATGGATATAAGCCCATTGGAGCCCCTATCCCTGCAAATTTTTATTTAAACATAATGCTCTCTTGCATTCCGAGACCCCTTTGGAATTCAATTTAATGCCTATTAATGGAAGATTTAAAGATTTTCAGTCTGTATTAATGCTGTTTCATTTGTATTTTTTTTTTTGAAGGTGGGGGGCCTGTGGTTTATGGTTCAACCTGTCCGTATGGTAGTTAAGCCACCGCGAACCAGATGAATTATTGTTGTAAATACTGAATGATGATCAAAATAATATCTAATCTAAGATTTTAACAATATTCATGGTTAGAAATTTATGACATTTTATCAACATGAGGAGTCATGCATAGACAATGTTGTACCTAAAGGCCTAGTAGCTCTTTCATAGGAACCAGACATGGCTGGATTTTGGTGGCTTCCTGAAAATCAGATCAGAAAAAATATCTCAGCAAAAGGTCATAGCTAGGATAAAAAATCAGAGAAGGAAAGAAAATCAGAGAAGGAAAGAAAATCAGAGAAGGAAAGGATATGAGCTAAAGTTTGTTAGTATTTGCTCTGGGATGACTGTAGCTCTACAAAGCAGAAGGATATATTTCTAATAATATCTGGCATAGGAGAATTAAAAGCCTGCTATATGGAATGAGGTAAACAGGTGATTGAGATAAAATGTCTAGAATTCATCAGTAATCAACACAGACAGCTTCAAATCACTAGTTTATAGAAGGCAAATTCAATTAGAATAGGAATGTTTGAATATAGTTCAACAAATCTAGGTTCTGGAAATATTTGGGGAGTCAATTTGAGATGCTTTAAGTAAGACTTCGTTCAGATGCTTGAACAAATTTCACACATTTGGTGAAGAATTTCAATGTTTGGTGCAAGGGTGTAGATTTCTGATGCTCAGAGAAGATTTCAAGTTGTAGATTTATGACTCTTGGTGTAGATTTCATAAGCATTTCAGGATCAGGTTATCTATTAGTTGGGCAACATGCAGCACACTATTGCCTACCTGGACTTAATGGCTGTCTTTGTATAGAGAATGATCTTTCTGATGATGTTGGTGACATGGGCAGACTTATTGATTGTTTATACTTTGGTATAGTTGGTGGTGATTGGCTGAAAACTGCATCTGCTGCAGAAGTGAAAAGTCAGCCATTAGAGATCAGTATGGTGCAGCATAGTGATATGTTTCAAAAATGGTAAATTTACTACTTTTGCAGGAAATTTTGTTGGGAACTTTTGATCTATATACTAATCAATGAGCTATATTAAATTACATTGGAATTGAAGTGGTGAAATCTAAAAGGTAACTAATGGATACCTTCATAATTGATAAAATCTTTCATACTAATAGGTTGGGTAGGTGAAGTCATTGTTGAAGGTGAAGTATTAGTTGTAGTTATAGAAACAGGAGCAATCTGCTTGCCTGAATCTTTTCTACCTGTAAGTATTGAAAGGTGAGCACTAATATTAATAGCTAGAGGGATTAATATGGTAAGCTGCAAGAGGAATTTCTTAATTGCTTGTTTTTACAGTTCAAGAAAGATAGATATTCAGTTACATAAGACAAGAGAAGAAAGATATTTTCTTCAAATAAAAATTTGTTATTTTTAAGAAATTGTACCAGAGGATAAAGAACAGATGTAGACAAATTTCAAGCTCATTCATTGTTCACTTTTTAAAATTTTAAGAAATAAAAAAAATCTGGTACAGTTTCTTGCGTTTAGAAGAAAGGAAAGTGAATTGTGTTTGAAGTTTAAACAAGATAAAATATCATTAATATGACATACACATTACAAATATTGGTTGGACAGAAAATGGTTTCATGTACTATATAGTTCATGAATGACTGTCAGCAAGAAATTTTAAAATAAATACCAGAATTTCATATCCTGGAACTGTAGTTATTCAAGTGAATAAATCAAATGCCATAACCTAATTGTGAAGAGATGGCTAAATTCAGTTTACTGTTTTCTTTTGTTCAACAGTTTTTGATTGTCATGATATAAAGATGATCATAGAACATGAAAGATACATTGAAACCATTTCCTTAACAAATTAGAGAAAAGAGATTAAAGGGGGGTAATCATGTTGATAGAAACGAACCACCATATTGTGACCACCCTGAGTTAGATGAGAAGGGAGTTTTACGATATGAATCCATTTTATTTGATGTAAATGCAGGTTGCAATCCTGCACCTGAAAATAAGTTGAGTCAATACAATGTTACTATTTAGAGATCTGTTTCATCTTTATTGGTCTATAACCAGATGGTAACAGGATTTTTTCTGGTTCTGCTATTCCTTTCACATTGATTCCTTATCATAATAGCAATATTTATCTTGTTTCTTCATCTCAATAATCACTGTACAATATCAAGTCTGTTTAAAAATACAGCTTAAATTCACATCTATTAATTATAAAAACTGTAAAATACACAGTAGAAAAAAAAAAGCTAACAACAATAAAGACAATCTTACCTGAGTTGATATGATTTTGTAGTTGTTGTTGCTGTTGTTGTGGTTGATGTTGTGAATTTAATGAATTATGATGATGGACATGACCATTTAATACTCCGTTTGTTGTAGGTTCACTCCTGAAAGAAAGAAATTTGATTTCATGTCATGATAAATGATACTGAAGAAACTTTGGAGTTGTACAACTTAATGATAAATAATTACTCAAGGCATTTGTAGAGTAATTACATTATGAACACTAGATATCATATTTTTTTTCGATATCTTATGAAGAACAAGAAAATAGTTTTGGCATGTTATGTTTTATTTAGTCAACAAATCTTAATAACATTTTAAGGTACTTCTAATTATTCTAGTGGCACTTTATAAGTTTAGAATTCATAGCCATCTATAGGGCCATTGTAACCTTTTAAAAACCATCGAAAGGTCAGAGTAGAATCTTGAAGATAGTAGTGACCATTAACCATTTTCATTCAACTTTCATCACACTTAACTTACAACTATTTCATTACAAAGACCAATGTACCCTTGTAGGTTACTAATGTACTGATAGACAATAAACCTAGTATTCATCAAACACAAGAGGAAAATTAGTAACATTCCTTCTTTCCTTCTTCTACATACAGACCAATAACCAGTTACATACTACAACCTTGTCTTCACCAGGACGGTGTTATACACACAGACCTTGTTATCCACATTGACCAGACCTTGTTATCCATATTGTTATACATGCTGACCAATCGCAGTTACATACTACATTCTTGTTGTTTTTTACTGACCAGACTTAATATTAACACGGTGACCTTGTTATCCATATTGATCAGACCTTGTTATCCATATTGATCAGACCTTGTTACACACATTGACAAGACCTTGTTATACATACTGACCTATACATACTACATTCTTGTTACTTTTACTGACCAGTCATTGTTATAAATACTGACCAGATCTTGTTATATATACTGATCAGACCTTGTTATACATACAGACCAGACCTTGTTATAGGTACTGACCAGACCATATATACATACTGACCAGACCTTGTATACATACAGACCAGACCTTGTTATACATACTGATCAGACCTTGTTATAGGTTCTGACCAGACCATGTATACATACTGACCAGACCTTGTTATACATACAGACCAGACCTTGTTATACATACAGACCAGACCTTGTTATACATACTGACCAGACCTTGTTATAGGTACTGACCAGACCATGTATACATACTGACCAGACCTTGTTATACATACTGACCAGACCAGACCTTTTTATACAAACTGACCAGACCTTGTATACATACTGACCAGACCATGTTATAAATACTGGCGTATATTTGACGTTTCAAATTAATTATAAATATAGAATGTTTATTTGGCAAGTGTTAAAATATTAGAATATAGGACATCTGGTGATTGTTTCATGTTTGTTTATTTATCATATTGATTACACTCTAGAACTTAAATTACATCTTTGACAAAATAGGTCAAATAGGTTATTGGTCATTAAGTTATATCTTCATGTCCTTTATTTTTACTCTAGCTGAAGATGCAAAGACAATCTGATGAACAGTTTCCAAACTAAATCTCAAAGCTTTCCTGGACCATCCAAGAACTTGCATAATGACAATGTTAGGTGGCAGTTGTTAGTACAAGCAAGTAGGCCTAGTATTTAACTGATGTATAATCTTATTTTGGTCACATAAATATGCACCCACAGCAGCATATTTCATTATTGCTAGGTACATAACCATTTAATAAATCAGTGATGAACTGATCAAACTCATACAAGTAGTTTTGACATCAAAAGCACATGTGTGTCAACCTATGTAAGTGTAAGACATGGACAATTTAAAATGAGAATATGAAATATACAAGTAAACATATGACATACATTGTGATGAAAACTTTCAAAAGAAAATAACCAAAACAAACACTTACTTTACAGAGAAAACTTTCAGTTGATATGACATTTTGAATATTAATTTTCACAATATTTACAAAATATGAAAAAATAACGAACAGAAAAATTTCACATTATCACAATAATTCAATATATTCCAATCACTTCCATTGAAATAAAAAACAATTGATAATTCCATTCACAGACCAGGTATATCCATATTTGGTAAGAGAAGAATACAATGGAGCAGCAGATGTTGTCGAAAGAATCACAATAAAGGTAATGAGGTGGATGCAGTCATTAAGTCAACTATTATTAAAATCTGCAGAAGAGCTGCATGGTAAAACTAAGTATTGAAGTATATTGAAAACAGGGAAGTGCTAGATTCTACCTATCACGATAATGATGTGTCAGAATATGACCTACAACATATGTGATAAATACAATGTGGAACTACCCTAACTTTACGTGATTGGCTTGTTTGGAATGATGGTATTGAGTGGAAATAATTTCAACTCTACCTGTTAGACAATACTAGACCTAACTCTAGCCTATATATTTCTTTATATTGTCAAGGTTACGTTGAATTGTCTATTCAACGCCCAAAATAACAAGTTTTTGTATATCTAACCCTTCACATCCACATTCTCACAGTTCTCTATCCTACTTTTTAATTCAGTATAGTTCATACAATTGCACTCTAAGGCAATGTTTCTGTTAGAAAAGAAAAGAAAAAAAAAGGAGACTGCTGTCAAGTCCAACTTACCACAAAGAGAAGGAGACTGCTGTCAAGTCCAACTAACCACAAAGAGAAGGAGACTGAAGTCAAGTCCAACTAACCACAAAGAGAAGGAGACACCTGAATCAAACTAACCACATTTAGAAGTAAAATGTCAAGTCAAAAATCCAAAAAGAGAATGAGACTGCCAAGTCTAACCACATAGAGAAGGAGTCTGTCCAGTCCAACTTACCACTAACAGCTGGAGAAGGACTGTCAATCTTCCTTAAAATGTTCCATTTTCAAACATAGAGCATAGAATAGATCTCCATGACAATTCAATAGTATTTTATCATGTTTAAAAGCTTTCTGATGCTAAAAAATGTCTGGCAATGATTTTATATCAGCACTCAGTAACCTAGTTTTTTCACTGCATGCTCCCTTTACAATGTTCAATCATATGAAATAAGTTTTAAAGTATGTAGGTTAGGTCAAGATGATAGCTATCAGATGATAAAAAACGCCTTCACATTGATTAAATATAGTAATGTGGTAAGTAGAAAGGTAATATATAAAGAGATAATATTAAAAGGTAGAAATGAGAAATTAATCCACAACAGCTGTCTAAAACATTAACTTAATCACTTTCCTGAAGCTGAACAGTTCCTGGTGAATCTTCATTCAGTTCATTCAAACTGCTATATTACTTAACAGCAATAGTTCTTGACTTTATTACTATTTTGACCCATTCCAAAGCCTAATTTAGCTACATTGAAATATGTGTTTTCAATCTCCTTCTCCTCATACTACCTCATAAAGAATTCAGAAATAGGTCATCAGTTGTCAATTGTTAAGAAAAAGAAAAACCCTTCATCTACTCGATATATAAGATGAACCCACAGTGTAAAAATTTTGGAAAGTTACATTATTCTACAATGCAATGAACTTTTCACTATCCAAACATGAAATTCAGATAAATACTTATGATGGTAATAGTGAGAAATCATTCGAGAACTATGAAAGAAAATAGATAAAATTGGCAGCAAATGAATGAAACAAACTCATCACAGTAACTATGCATCAAATGTTCATTATCATTAGTTAAAAGCATTGAGTCAGAAATAGACATTGGTAAAAGACAACATTAAAGCTAACAGTTTGAGATCAAAGAAATCATGGTTGATGAGATTTTGTGTTCAATGGTTATTTTATGGTTCATTATTAACTAATACCATACATCACTTGAATAAGTTTAGTCAATATAAAAGTTGAAGGTATGTAGTCCTCTAAATTTTACATTTGGTACAATTCAGCATTAGTTACCCTTAGCATTTCAGATGAAAATCTACTTTACTTAATCCCTGATCCAAATTCAAATGATGGCACAAATATCTTATGTCAATTCCTTTCATGTAAACCATTCTTGACAGTTTTAAAAGAATAATTTTGTAAATAAATAGATGACTATATCCCTTTTTAAAAAGATTTTCTAAGAAAAGAAAAAAGATCAATTTTTTATAACTATGATAAATCAGGCATCAAGCCAGACATCATACTTCTATTTCAATCATAACATCTGTCAACATTTTATTATTATAGTCTTGAGAGGTCGTGTCATTAACTAGGCTTTGTATTGTTCAAAAACCATTTAATTTTCCTTCGTTTTACAATAAATACTCTCATTACTTGGTCACAGGTTAAGATTCAAGAAAATCCTTGACTGACCAGGAATACAAATCATTAATTATTTTCTCTCAATGATTTCAGAAATTCACCTGTAGAGTTTAAGAGACAAATAAGTTTGACAGATTATTAATCATCAAAACAAAAAGAAAAGTACAGGTCTGTTATAGATATAAACTAAAGTAAAATGGAAAAGAAACAAAGATGGACAAATGCCAGTATTATATGAAGTTATAATTGTCTGGAAAATAGCAGACAAGGTTAAAGAGTGGAAAAAACTTGATATTGGTATTGTAATACAATTGATATTGAGATATATAACAATATTCTGAATTTCAAAGAATACTATGTAAAAAATATTGGAATTTAAATTTTTAAATATATTGGGAAGTGGTTCCAGATCAGAAAATGTTGTTATTAAACGTCCTGTTACATAATGAGGTGCTTAAGGTATCTAACGTTATCAATCTTGGCATGACATATCGTGGGTGACCGCTTGAAACCTCATATAATGATATATGACGCGAAATTACTTTTGAGAAAAACGCAAAAAACTATTTGTACGCTAATTTTGTTAAAAATCTTTTTTATAATTTTTTACCGCTTAACATGGTTTCTTATTCTTTGAAGATTTATACCTCGTATAACAATTTGAGTACTCCGACTTATTCAACCAATAACTCATATAATAGTACAGTATACAAGGTTTTTCGTTTTCATCTGCAGAAAAAGGAACATTGAACCTTGTATGATATAATATTTTACGAGGTTTTAAATCTGACTGTTTATATACATGTTATTTAATTAGTGGTTTTTGGGTTAGTTACAATCAAGTTAAGAATAAGAAGTTTTGATCATAAGATCCGCGCTTTTGAACGGTAACAAAAAGTCAAAATGACCAAATATTGCATATACGAGGTTTCACCCACTATATCTATGTTAACTAGTTAGTATAAGTATATGTAAGTATTTAAGTTCTGTAACATAATTTGGGTATGAAGTCAAGAATTTGAGTTGACAATAAAACCACTGTTAATAATATCAGCATTTCAATATACTAAAATTTGCTTGGCATTGCATATTCAACAAATATACCAACATTACAGATTGCCAGAGTTCAGTAAACATAACCACATGCAGTTAGTTATCATAATGTTATTTCTAAGTTTCAAAATGGCAGCCAGTTTCTAGTCTGACTTTATCTTTAAATGATAATGACTATCAATGTCAAGAATTCCTACAAGGTAATGTGGTGAAGAAGATAATGATATAATGGTAATTGCATATAAAATTGGACCAATTTCAAACTTATGTAAAAGTTAAAGACAGTGTTTTCTACAACAACATAAGTGACAATATATAGTCCAGAATCAATATCTAGCCATGACTCTGATTGTTAAAGGTAGGGATATAGTGCCATCCAGTTAACCACCTGACAGTGAAAGACATTAGAACTCAACTCAACCATTTGTTTACAGCATTGTCTACATTTGATAGTGAAACCTTAAGAACTAAACTCATTCTTAGTTTCATATTAACAGCATGGTCCACATCCAACAGTAAACTCCTTCAGAAATAAATGAAACTGATACAATGGAACATTACTTATTGTATATATACTAGAGATCACAATTATGTTTGGTTCAATAGAATCATTAAAAATAAAAGAAAAATAACTTACCTTCTCAGTTCAAGAAGAAGTTCATCCTTAGAATTTTTAATGATTTGCTGGGTGTCTCCAATATTAAGGTTCTGTGTTGGATGACCATTGACTGTTTCTAAATAGTCCCCTACTTGTACTCCCTCATTATACGCCTTACTGTTAGGATTAATCTGTAATTAATAAACACAATTTTTAAACTTTTTGTATTAGCTAGGTTATTTCTGAGGTTTTTTTACTCTTAAAGTTAAACTTTGTAGGATATTAATTGTACCCAGTAGGTTAAACCAGGTAGGCTATATGTACTCGGCAGGTTAAATGGTTTAGATTATTTCTTGTGTAGGTAAAGATGATACTAGATAAGTAATATACTCAAGAGGTTATATTCTCAGGAAGTTATAACTATATCCTAGGTAATGATACTTGGTTACTTAAACACAGTTGAATACATTTACACTTGACAGAGTAGGTTATTTCCTAAGTTAGGATTATATTCAGTAGGTTATCTAAAAATTCAAGTTGTTTTCAGTACACTAGGTTATTTCCTTGTTGAAAATTAAACACTTTCCATTTCTCTGTTGTCTTATTTTCACAAGATTTAATATAAAACAGACACACATGCTGTATTAAATTCCTTCACATCTGGAAAAATTCAAATAATCTAACCTTCATATTATCGAAAACCAGCCAGAAGACCTGAGGCCACTATTTGTTTCTCATACGAAAAAAGTTAGTGTTATGAGTATAGCCTCCAATAAAATAGTTTTTAAGTTAATAACTAAGGAGTGTCTACGGTAAAACGGAGTAAAAGATATGATGCTTAGATCTTAGTCAAAACTTGATCATGGTCAAAGACTCATCTTAAACATTCCCATCTGTTAGAATCATTATAAGTCAATTACTTCTGCTACGCTATTTATTTAAGGTAAATTCAGCCCAGGTAAAGAGTTGAGTAAATCTACTTTGTTCTATTAATAGTTTCTGCTAATCTGAGTGCCAGGAATGCAATTTGAACTAGAAATACTTCATAGTCAGTAATCATTATAGAACTAAGGCAAATAAATGAATGAAGAATCAATTAATCATTGCTACTGAAGAACAGTAAGGGCCCTTTGTAGCCTGAAAGCCCACAGCATATTAAGAAGTTACCATGAAGGTGTAAACATCTTGATCAGACGTCCTACTGTCAGTAAGATTATATATTAGTAGGTTATCATTTCTTTGATCTATTTCATATCACGCATTAATGTTTGTATAACTGGTAGTCATATACATATACAGTTCCCGAGAACGTCACAGAACTTGTCAGAAAAAAATATCTCTCAAAGACACAGTACTAAGAGTTAAGAATACACACACTGGCATAGTTTCAATCTTGCTTTGTCTAAGGTTTCTTACTTATATCACAAAATGGCAGGTGATTCATAAGACAAAAGGACGAGGTTTGTAAGCATAACAAAGTTTTCCTTATTATTCTACATAACAATAAATTGAAAGAAGTTATTATCTGTGATAGACCAATAAATGTCAGACTACTCTATTAAATAGGGATTAGAATATCAAACATGTCATACTGAGATATAATCCTTAAATTCAGGTCCATGACCTTTGACCATTTTCTCTAGGGGCAACAAGATACATATCAAGTGAGCAGTAGTTATTAGCAACCAGTAGCACTATTTACCAACACTGATACTAGCTAGAGAATGATAAACATTTAGACTAAAATAAACAACCAGTCAAACCAAACCATGGTGGCCAGTTCCCTACAACTTCAATACATGTTACTTCAACAACTAAACAGATGGTGAAAACCCAGAAATTTGATTCAATCTTCAGATCTACTTATAATAAATCTTGGTCTGATCATTGACCTGGTATCAAAATAAATAGTGCTTCCATAGCTACACTCTATCAAGTTTAGAAGGTGGCTTCTAATACAATCAGTACTTAAGATATATCATAATCATTAATCTCCTTGGCACATTAAAAGACGTCTTTAGGAGGCAGTTTTGCCAAGAGGTTTTTGCTAAATAAGCTAAAGACGAAGAACTGGCATGGTGAGTGATGGTTATGGCAAATGCTCCTTGTATCAACAAAACCTATTGTAAATATCACAATTAGTATAGAGTACTTACATCACCACCTGAAAAATCTTAGAATCTAATTATAATCATCAAATTTCAGTACCTAATCGTAAGTATTTTTTAAGAGACAATAAGTGATACTATAAATACTTCTTCTCACAACTGGCCAGTATCAATTGTTTACCCTCAGGTATTTAAAGATGGGCTACCACCTCTTACTGATTAGTTTTTTGTCCATAATATCAACTGAAATCTCCAAAACAGACAAATAATATAAATCTTTCATTAACAAGAGTTTTCAGCATATTATCTTGCATGTCCATCCAGATACATCTGAACCCATTTCACTTTCTGTACAGAATAACTTTGAAGTATATCATCAGTATATTTCTTAAAATTTTGATCCCATTCTTTTTCACTAGAGCTTTCATGAACATGTTTATATCCTTCAATACTGCATCTAGTCATTATTAACTCCTTTGACCATACAAAAGTTATGCAATTTCAAATCGTTCTTGGTTCATTTCACTGGCACATTTGATTCCAGCCAGGTCGGCTTTATCACAGCCTTGTACAAAGGAAACTCTAATAAATAAAGCCAATAGTTTATTAGGAAAACACATCACCCCGATTTGTCATATCAGTTGTGGAATTGGATTTCATTTTTGTAATTTGGAGAAAAGAATCAGGTATGTTCCTTTTAAATTAGGTAAAAGAAACCCAACATCTGATACTTATGTTTGGTGAGGTTATATTCTATTATTATTGTCACACCCCATTTCATATCTTTCAAAACACTCTGATAGGCTATATATAAAATATTCAAATAGTTTCTACATCATTTCATCTTAACTAATATACTGATAATAGTTACTGATAGATAGGATTAGAATCAACATGTTATTTATCTCTAGAATTAGTAAACATTATTTATCTAGATTCCTTAAATCTAGAACAAAACACTACTTAAATCAGAAATGATTTTGAACTTTTTGCAGCATACGACAAAAATTTTACACCAATTTACCTGCACACTGATGCTATCGTTTAAGAAGAAGTGCATCAATGAATTCTGTCTGAACTATTTGCTTTCGTGTGCACCTGCACAATCTTATACAAGCTAATTTCAACAACTGTTCTAATTCATGTCTTTAGAACATTTACTGATTTACAAATTAATATTGATTTTTTCAGTGACAGTGTTTCCTGACATTTTTTGAAAAGTTACAAATGAATATCAAAGAAAAATAGGCTATATGTGATCAAACTAGACAAACTATAAATTGTTGTTTTAAAGCTCTATATTATGTGATATATTAGTCATTAAAGACCACTGTCTAAGATTACTATCTAACCTACATTCTTATACAATTACAGGTTATATGATATCTCAAATTTAAATCCAACAAAATCACTACAATCTCTTCACTAAAAAAGATTGCTGTGTAATCTGATTTTTCAACATAACATGTAAAAATTCCTTTTCTGATACAATCTTATTTCTAAAAAATCAACTGAAAAGTTTGAGTAAAATAGATACTAATCATATTAGAGTTTACTGACTTTGCACTTAATTCATATTTATAGGCCCTATGATTTTGAAATCATTTATCTCTAAGAGAATAACCTTTCTTTTTCAGGAAAAGAAACTTGTTCTTCATCCCCATAGTCAATTTTATCTCCTGTATATTATCAAGGCCGGAGGACAGTAGCTGATATTTTGACAGGATGCCTTAATGTCAGCGCACACTTATCAATTATTAAACTCGCATTGAGAGCATCTAGAATATGTCTGATATTATCGGCTTCAAAAAATCAGTCAGTGTGTACAGATCTTTAGCATTCTGAAGTATCTACAAGCCAGCTTTTGAATGAAGCATTAAATATAGGTAGGATAACAAGAGTATAGTCTGTTAGCTAGGCTCTGACTATAGATGTATTCTATTCTTGTATTATAGCTTGAACTCTAAAGTAGAACCTCTTCTAATTATATAACAAGTCTCACCATTGTTGCCAAAACTAACAAGAACAACCTGTTGAGCAATGAAAACCTATGATAAACATATTTTTAATTCTGTTAGATTACCATATTATTACAATATCTACATAGATAAGATTGCAGCAGTTATTTAATTGGTAAAGTATATCCTAATGTTGCTGAGACAAGAGGATTCATCATAAGGACTAGGTAGGTAGTACTGGAATGACTAATATCCATCATCCATGGAGGATTACAAATGTATGATTTACAGGAACAACGCATATTTAGTCTCAAATTCTTAAGATTTTGTCCTGAACTAACTGGCTAACACCATGAAAATATTATAGAGAATGTTCTAATGTAAATAAATTCGAACTGAATTTTCTAATTTGTCTCTCTTGAATGAAACAGGGTGATTATTGAACTCATATCAACTATTTGTGGACATTGACTTTCATTGGATTGCAAATTGAATAGGTACATGATGGTTTGTTCTTTGTGTCAGATCTTTAATTATTATAAGCTCAATTAGTACACCTGTACAACTGTTTTCAACTTCCAACCATATATAGCAGAAGACAAAACTATAGGTTGGCGTTAAGTTACAGGAAACACGGCTGCCAGACACATGCTGTCTGTAGAGAGTTAGGAACCACTGACATAGATTCCATTTACATGACTGGTATACACTGAATTTGTCTCAGAAAGAGCTATCTTCTCATATAAAGGTAATAAAGTTTAGCTTGGTGAACTCGGGAGTTTATCAAACTGATAAATATTTCACATAAATATGTAATCTAAGAGAATTTTATGTTGAACTGTTCTGTATTAACTTGTTTGATAAGATTGGTAAAAAAATAACCTAAAAATAACACTTCTTCCATTCATTGGTTTAAAGTATACTGTCTAATTTCAAACTATCAAGTTAAATAAAAAGCTTGAAATAGACCAGTGTTTAACATTCCTTAGATAAACAGCTTCCTGCATAAACATATTAATAATATCCAGCATAATAAACCAGAATCAACGAAATGTGCAATTAAAAGCAAACTGCAAAAAGCATTATTATGAATCATTATTTTCAACTTAAAACAAACCAGTGGCAACACAAGTGGGAATACCAACTAACGATTCAGTCAGTCTCCCCCAAATTTGTAACCCAAGTATCAGAAGGCTGGCCATGCCACTGGAACAGAGTCAAATTAGGTGCATTAATCATTTTGTATCAATTAGCTACAAAATAAATATATGCTGTTGAGAGTGTAATGAATTTGGTCTAGTTCTAACTGAAATCACCTCTGAAGGTGGATGGGGGTCTGCCAGACAATTCAGTGCCATGGATTCCAATCACGTCCCTAAGGAAAATTTTGATTTTAAGACCATTGCGTTTGGTATAGTCATTATATAGTTATTATACTAGTAAAATAATTAATATAGTAATTAACATATTGGTAGGAAAATAAGCTATGAGTTTATATAAGTTATGATGTTATTAGGTATAAGACTAATAATAGTTTATAATATTGACTAATTAATTAATAACATGTGGTAATGTTTATATTAGATGTTCCTGTTATAATATATAAACAGCATGTTTATTATAAACTATCTACATGTCAATTTTTTATAATATGTATTCCAAATGTTTGAAGGTTTATATCTGAGTCCTCTGGTGAGATGATTTTGTAGAATTCATGTCAAATTGACCATACATATTTGTAAGCATCAGAAGTTCCATACATATGAATCAACACAAAATGCTCTGAAGTGATGTTTAAAGTGAACATTTTCTCCAATGACTGCACAAGCTGATTGATCAAAAAATGCAGAGAGTCTTGTGTTGTCATTTGCTTTGGACATGCTGAAATCTTTCATCATCTCACCAAACATCAATTACCACCAGCCTTGAATTTATTAGAAACATTAAAAGAATTGATGTAAAAAATGAAAGAAGATTGTGTGATGATTATAGTCTATGGTCTGTAACTAATTCTAGATCCAATATAAACACTGGTTTAATACTCAAGTTAGTGTTTATTATTTAACACTAATCTATTTAAAAGATCGGAATTTAGATCTGTCCTATTTTAAGATTAAAGGTTAAATATTATCTATAGAAATATGAGAGTATATGAATACAACTCTTAGTTAGAATATCACAAAGATCTCAAGCATGAACAAATTTCTCACACTACATAGCGTAACACTACATATTTTAAATATTTATACAAGAGAAAAACTTAAATGGCTTAAAATGTATTCAACAATGCACGTTATTCAATTTACAGAAATGGGATACACTTAACATTTTATACTTCAAACCAACTATTATATATAGGACAACTATCAGGCACCATTTATCGAACAAGTCTGTGACCTTGCATACAAATGATTGTAATTTTGCAGTTAATTTGAACTATGATAAAAACTTAAATGTATCAAGCCACCACATGCAATAAGCTTACACGATGAACATGAATGCATGACTATCTCAACTTTCTGAAGTCGTAGGCAGATGTAAGTGTGGAACCTGTGTGATGTTTTAGAAGTTTCATCAGAGAATTTCAATGTTTCAGTACCATACCACAATAACAAGTTACAACTGAATTAATATTAATAAAACAATATTCATCCAGACCAGGAAAATAATCAAAGTTTTCCAAACAAACAGAAATCATATCTAACATACCTTAAATGATTTCATCAATTCCACAAGTCTGCTACTCCAAATATTAGTATAAATATTCAGTAAGATAACAAAATTAAACCTACTGATAGTACTAATACATCCTGAGTACCTGTACTAGCTAACTAACTGACTGACCATCTGACTAACATCTGCTACTAATTATACATTTTTAACTTCTTCATCTGTACTTATCATTACAGATACTGGCATCTCCCCCATCCTATAATACTTCAATCATTTTTATCTCTCTTGGATGATTCTGAATCAGAATGAATTCTATTTAATATTCATTAGAAACGCAGTAAATATATTTGTGAATTGTTGTCCATCCAAACAAAAAGTTTCAAAGTTAACTTCATCAATGATAAGCAGAAACTAGGAAAGCAAATCACAGATATTTATTGGCAACTGCCAGTGATTTCATTATCTGGTTCTTATAATGACACCTTTTTTTGAACAAAATAATGAGATGATGTAATATTCCATAGAAAAAAAAAGATACAGAAATGTCAATCAATATGTGAACAAGATCAAATTTTATGCTACATCATAATCTACATATTTAACACTATTTAACAGCTATATTATATTAATACCAGAAAGTTAAATCATATTTAAAAGACAAAATAATTGAAGAAACATAAATTATTATTGTCCTGAAACTTTTTTTATGTATCAGGGACACTGATGGAATCAATTTGCACCATTCTAATTTTCAATCAGACGTCTGTGGTTCCCGAGTTGCACTAAAACTCAGTGTTTGATGATGTCACTAATTGCATAGGGCCTTTTATGAAA